TTGTAGATATCAATCGATATATCGATTTGTAGATATCCATATTTGTTTCAAAATGTCTTTGAAATTTTTTTCTGCATTCTATACAAATCTACTACTCTGTTTCGTTATTCATTACAATGATAGTTTTTTCTTATTAGAAGAACTGTACTGATCAGTGATATCTTCAATTGAACGACATTGCGCGTGAATTTATTCCTAGGAGATCGTATCTACTTTTAACCAAGTTCGTAGGATTATTCGGATATATTTAGTTCCTATCATAAGGCTTGGTGTTTAAACTTTGGTACCTAAGGCGATCATCTGTCACCTGTACTCCAATCAATTATTGATTGACCAGAGTGGACAACAGTGAAGCCTATATTCGTCCGCGTTGTACGGCACAGCTGTTCACTCAGTGCGCTTCGTTCATTAGAGGATGGAGGCGAAGAGCATTACACTTTTGATATGAAGCCGTTTTTTCTTAGGGTTTTTGTTAGAGTTGAACACCATTGGTGAATCACAGATGTCTCATAGTACTCTTGAGGAACTTTTGTCCACACATGGCGACTCTGAACCGGTTCTGTGGACTTTTTGTTAATACATGCATATTTGCGCACACATTCACGCACATCAGTGCGTTTATTTGGAATGTATACATCGATCTGATGTTTCAGAGGTAAGCACATCCCATACACCTTCATCTCCGGGAAGTCCATTCACATGTGCTCTGCGTTAAGCTCGTAGGGACGTATCTCGTAGCCTCGCGACTAGCCTGCTCTATACCTTCATGTCAGGGATAACCATGGAAACCATGCTATATGATCTGATCATTCACCAGTCATGTTTATTAGCTGTTTATTTATGCATACTTTTCATTTAATGCGTTATATTTACGCAGTCAGTTTATTACATTAGTCATGCTGAATGACCCATATTATGTGTTTATCACAGGGCTGTTGGTTCATGGTATAACGCATGGACTATAGGTTTAGGTTAGAAACTGAATTCTATCACACACGATTTTTATTTGCGACGGCTATTAGAGTTATTAAGATGAGTTAACAAAATAGAGGGAACCATAGTGCATCTGAGCTAGTCACTGGTGGGATGGAGTTTCCTGGTGGGTTATCTGTTAGTACAGGAATGGTCTCTACTTCCTAATTTTAGATCCTATCACGTTTTCCCATCTTGTTGAAGAGGCTGAGAAGACACATGGAAGTTGATGGCTTAAATATGTTCAAAAACTTAGCACTCTCGTGCAGTTCTGTCAGCTGCATGCGAGTGGTAATTCAACATATCGAGTGAAGTTTTTATCCAAAACTATTTTTTAGTCTATTCATTTACTTCCGCTCTCTTTCGAGTTTGGTTATAACTATCGTTGCTGTTCTTGAACTTTTAAGACTTTGTGTTTGAAGCCTGCACACTTCCCAGGCGTTTGTAACCATGCATAATTCACCAATTTCTTGTCAATACCTGAAATATTCTAATGGTAGTCGAAATCACAGTGTTAACTTTTTATTTACTGCCTATTACAGTATTTCATGGTAGGGAATTATATATGGTACAACCACAGTGAAGCTGGCGTATTGGCAAAACAACGGACTGCAGGTGTCTGCGGTGGGGAACGAGCGTGCTATTACCCTTTCCGGGGCTAACGCATTCACCACTACACAGTGCGGGTCCTTCGTTTCGCATTTCTCTCAGCAAGACACCTGCGATCCGGAGTTTTGCAATTAATGGCATTATTGTTTGTAAAGTGCTTAGCATTGAGGCTTAATGTTGTCGTACGGACCACGTCATGAATATTCAACATCACTGACTACTACGGAGCTAACACTATTCAGCGAATAAACCTCCGTTCTAATGGCGCTCTTATTTCGTAGTTTTGTTAGGAAGGTAGGTAGTTACCTTTCATTAGAAGGGTACGTGTCCTTCGGACTAAGTGTTTGAAGGCGTTGTACTTTAATCGTTTTCTCCTTGCGTTCTGGAAAAATGCTACGCTTTCCCGATTACGGTATTAAATAGGTCACTCTTCAACAAAACGTATGCTTTTTTAGTATCGCACCAACACACTAAACCATTCAGTGATATCTGTTAGGAAACCACTTGCTCCACAAACCACTCGACGTTACATACTGAATTGTCCAAACGGTTTCCATTAGGGTTCCTATCCATTCATGTCTCATGTAGGAGTTGTTCAACTGGTTCTCGACCAGCCAACATAAGCGGAATCATATTCTTCTTCGAGTACCCTCTGTGAAAAAGTCTGTGCGTTAGATCGGTGGTTATTCTCTTTTCGATGTTACATCTAACGGAAACGTGTTTCTGACGAATTTTTTTTTTACAACGATTGTCAATTAACCTTCTGATTCCCAACATTTCGGTGTTTGCAGTAGAGTTCTTTGAACTCATTCCTTAACATAGGTTGATAGTGCAGGTGCTTTTGAGATGGAACGGGATATTCTTAATTTCTTATTTACGATGACATGTACGGAGAATGCTAGCTACACTCCCGTGCTGCTTACAACGTGTCAGGTGTGCATGACGTACGTCAATGTTGAGTGGACAGTGGTATTTGATTGTTTGATTTTGTGTGAAGACGTCCTCCATGAAAGCTTTTGATTATAGTAGGGACACGTTGTAAATGATCATTTTGGGCCCTGAAATTTCACCTGATTCTTTGGTCCTTCTAGTGGTGCCGTATCCCGAGATCGTTCGAAACAAATCTGAAGAGTTCTTAACAACTTCTTGTTGGGTGAATACTTAGGAATGTTTTGAGTTGAGCTGTGTTGGAGATATTGGATGGGTTCTTGTGTTAGAATCAGTTCTGAATCACATCCTGTGCACATTCCACTCATTTGATCACGGGGTTTTGTCCAAATCGACGTGTTAGTATTCATAACAGTCCTACGATTTAAGTACACACAAAGACGTGTCAGAGACATGGATATTGCTGTGTACATACAAATGGTACCTGATAATCTAAAGAAACAGAGACCAAGACCGTATGCTAAATATTTCTAGAGCTTAGAGCTAGCACAATATTGCTTCTGCCAGTCGGTTAATATACATCGGCCACTTAAGGAACCATCACTTATCCTAGCCTCGAGAAGAGAGCGTGTAGCGCAGTGGTTAGAGGTGAGCTGGAATAATACGCTTGGGATCGATCTCGTGCCCCGGTTCACCAAGCATTCCATCCGTTCGTGGTCGGCAAATTGGTACCAAACCAGTCTGGGAGGATAGCAGCACTGATAAAATACGTGGGTAGGCCATCGTGAGTCCGGACGTGAGCATCGTGAGTTATATGGGCCGGATATGCATTCAATCACTTTTAACGATGCTCGAGGAAGTCGAATGCATGGTGCATCCCTCAGGGATCGATCAACGCCGAGAGCTTTCTTCTCTATTTAGTCTCGAGATCCCTTACTCCCTTACTTAAGGGACGTCCATGTGCAACAGAGGTTGTATAGTATTAATCTATTTATGAAATATTTCCGGAAACCGATTTTCATTTAGCCTCGATGTAAACAATCAATGTTTTCTTGGATTATTAAGCTAACACGTGGTTGATATCAAGTTTTCTCTAGCGTTTCGACGTCTTCTGTTCGATTGAATCATTCTTGTTCTGAGGACGGCGAAGACATCAAAACGTTAACCGAAACAAATCTATTGCCAAGTTCGTGTTGTTTTAATAATGTAGGAGAGTATTATTCATGAATTGTTCTAATGACAGTGCATCCATCAGACGCCGACTTCTTCATCAAAACTTTAGATTATTATTGTTTGCACTGAGAGAAAATACCGTAATAGTCTAAATACTGTGTTCTAAGTTTTTTAAACTCTTTTTTTTCAACGCTTCATGATCGGTACGATGGGTAAGTGGGATTGACAGTTTTGCGTGCACGTGCCTCTTTGAAACTCAATTCTGTCGGTGAGTGGCAGTGGGTATGATGGAAAAACCAGACAGTCGAGCACAGGGAATTCTAGTCAACGAGAGTGTTGATGTGGTCTTGGCACAGGTGTATACTGCAACTGTACTACTGTTATCAACACCTCACCTGATCGTTTCCACTCACCGACTGTGGACTCGCTTCCACTCACAAAGAAATGGTGAAACGCCGTAGTCGTTTCCTTTGTGAAATATTTCCTTGACAATTATTACTGAACTACGTTATAGACTACATGAGTCTATGTGATTCACACGTCAGGGCCAAAGATCTACAGCTTATAGTAAGCTCTTGTAGTTGAAATAAAAAAGAACTCGTAGACTAGAATCCGAATATCTTTTCCATTAATGCAAAAATTTCCGTATTCTGTGGCGATAAAATCTGAATTTCTGAAGCCCATCGAGTTATTCTACGGATTTCCATGTGACTTGTAGCATAACTCTTTTCTTCATTGTCTTGGCAGCCAGCTGTACTTCCTTCCACTCACACGGCTGTGTTTAATCAGATCAATCGGGTTATATTTCACCCATAACTCATGTCGAGTGTACGTACCCATCCATGCTTGTCATTCGTATAGCTCATGTTTCATACCAGTTGCCACGAACCATTTGCTCGTTTCTTAGTCGGAAAACGTTTAGTCCAGTTTTTACACGGTATGCGATTAGATTCTGTTGACTTTTGTGGCGTTTGTCAGTTAGCGTCATTCGTTTTTCGTCGTGTGTTCATAAAAGTTCCCGTCGTTTTGGCATGTTCCTAGTCATAAAATCGATTCCTCTGCATGGTCACAAAACTTTAGTCTCGAATCTGTCTGTGCCTAGGGTCATGGGTGTCCTTGCTGCTGAGCCAAGGTGTTAGGTTTGGGTGAAAAGACCGAGTCGTTTTGTTGACTCGGGACTTTTGTTGCTACCGCTCTGGCTTGGCTTGGCAGCCCATGTATGATACTTGGCTAGTGTGCAGACGACAGAGCGCCGAGGAGAATGAGGCTCGCTAGTGAGACATGCGGAAGAATCGATCTCTAGGCGACTTGCTGAGGCGTAGAGCTGAGCTAGCTGTTGCAGGCACTCACAAACCTCGATGGCCACCGAGGCTGACCCACCGCCCGACCTCAATAGCCGGGTGCGTTCTTCTTCTTTCATATTCTTCGTTTCTTCTCACTGTTTGTGATATGTGCAGATCGAAAAATGGAGTGTTTTGCTTAAATTACACGATTCCATAAACAAGTACGGTGTCTTTCCGTAGAGAAACGTGCTTGACTGTAGTGATGTTGGTTTTAGGGGAACCAGATTTTCTCCGTCTTTCCTCGATTCGTCGTTATGGTAGTTTTTTTGACTTTGCAGCAAAGTGGTGAAGGAAGTGCTAGCGCGAGTTTTCTTCGTGCAGCTCGTGCCGGAAATTTCGACAAGGTGTTGGAACTCTTACGTGGAGGCACCGACATCAACACATGTAACGCGAACGGATTGAATGCCCTGCATTTGGCATCGAAAGAGGGTCACAGCGAGGTCGTCAGAGAACTGCTGAAACGAGGCGCTCATGTGGACTCAGCCACTAAGGTAACCTACCACTACCAATAAATAATTATTCATCTGTATCTGACTTTCTGTAGTCTCCGGGAATAGCCTCTGTTGAAGTCGCCTTCTATCGTTTATTGAAATTGTTTGGGTTTTTATTCTGTTGGGTTTAGTAGCTTCACCACTAGAGACATCCTAACGTCATGTGATCCCATGTGGGATTTGTTAGGGTTGTTGTTGGATCGTAAAGCCATGTAACACGGGCTTAGTTGTGTGTGTCTTCACTAGGGTACAAACATCAAATTCCAGTTGTTCCGATGTTGCCGTTATAATCTACTAATTAGATTTTTAACTTCATTAGCGTAAGATTTATTTTTATCCCTTATGATGTGAATGCTGGAAGCAGTTGAGGGTTATATAGTTTTGCAGAGAAGAAAGGTTTTAGCGTTCTGAAATCATAAGTCGTGATGGTCCAGCATTGATCTAACACATTGTAAACGAAATAGTTCCTGTGGCAAATATTCCCCTTGTATTCTCTCACGTTCTCTCATACTGTTATGATTCATGCTTAGCATTTTTCTCAGTTGCAAAGAAGAAATCCTTAAATCGGAGCAAAAAGTGAGCAAAATCCTCATAGATCGGACGGAATTAGAAGATTCCTCATAGGTTGTTTTCTGACTAATCTTTAATCTCATAGCAAATGGTAACTTACTATAATAGAGAGGTAAGCGCATATCTTACAGTCAGTGGTTAGATGTGCTCTCGAATACGCGTGTGGTCGTTGGTTCGATTTCACCGCAGTCAAACTGATCTTTTCATATCTCCTGAGTCGGAAAATTCGTATCGGATTAGCCTGAGAGAATAAGAAAACTGTCCTGATAGATCGCGATGCTTTCACACTTTCTTTTGTACAGACCAAATACGTATTCAATCATCTCCACGATGTGCACTGATTAAAAAGGCATAGCGCATCACTGAGGAATATAGAATATTTTATCCCTATTCGCTATATGATGAATATTCTTACTCCTCTCAGTAGTTGTTTTAGAAAGGTAACACGGCTCTACATATCGCCTCATTAGCTGGTCAATCACTGATAGTCACAATTCTTGTTGAAAATGGAGCTAATGTTAACGTCCAGTCACTCAACGGATTCACACCGCTATACATGGCCGCCCAGGAAAATCACGAGGATGTGGTCAGATTCCTGTTGTCACATGGCGCTAACCAAGCGCTTTCAACTGAGGTACTTCTATTTTTCTTTTCATTATTTTAAAACTGACTTTCCTTTAATCTCGGTATGGCCAATTAATATGTATTTTTTATTTGATAAGAAGCTAAAACGAGGTTGTTAAATAATTTTTATTCGGCTAACGTTTCGACGTCTTCGTCTTCATTTGAGCCGATGATCCGAGTCGGTGGTCCACTATGATGGCTCTGATGAAGACGAAGATGTCGAAACGGTAGCCGAATAAGAAGTTATTCTTTTTTTTAGTTAGTGAACTTTGCCTAATCTGGTGATCACAGGGTTTATAAAAACGTAGACATAGGTGGTATGAGACTTGTTTCGTCAAATTTAAGGTCCACTTGAATCTTTGTAGTTATCAACTTTAGGCTATAATTTTATGAGTTAATTACTAGTACGAAAATCGGTTAGGTAAACAACTCATTTTGAATTTATGCAAAAACACGCAATTTTCGTGTTTTTAGGACGATTGTGCACTTACAACAAATTGCCATCTCGGGCATTTAATGCTTTTTGTTAAAATATTCATAAACGCTGCCGCTTTCTCTAACTTCCCGAACATCGTTTACAGATTTGTCTTTACATTTTGAGGCGCTATAAGTGACTAGAGAACATGATTGACTTGTTGTTCTGATTTGTACTCGGCACTAGTACTTACGAAGCTACCCTGGTAAGCAAAGAGAAAAACAAAGCAGCAATGGCGTCCTCGGTTGGTGTGTAGTGGACAGTGAGCAAGTGAGTCCGCGGAAAGGGCAATCGCGAGCTCAGCGCCGTCTTGAGGTTCCTGGGATTTGCTCATATCTCAACACTCTTACGGGTGTATTTCACATCCTATTCTGTCCTTGGAGGGGGGATGTTACACAGTGGTTGAAGGTGCTCAGCGATATACATGGGATCGATCCCCGCTCCCAAGGTTTACCAAGCCTTCCATCCCTTCCGGTTCGGCGAAATGGTACCAGACTTGTCTAGGAGGATAGCAGCATTTGCTCGGTACATCGGTAGGCTATCGCGATTCTCATTGTAAAGATCATATATTCATCCAGGTACCTACAACGATGCATAGTGAAGTCGAATGCCGGGCATCCTTCAGGGATATATCAACACCGAAAGCTTTATCCTGTTTTCCTTTGTTCTGCGCTGAAAAAAGAATGGATACTAAATAAAGGTTAAGACAGAGAGTGTGATTGTTGGAAATGGCATGCTTCAACAGCTCAGCAAGGTAGTTTCGAGTAATACAGAGCTAGCCTTCGTGTCATTCATGACACGATGGAAATCGTTTACGTGATAAGTATGGGATGCTGGACATCGTCTCTGCATGTCAGCTACTCATATAAAAGAGAATGGATTGAGTCATATAGTCAAAATTTAACTGACAGATCAGATTGACAGGCGCCATAATTATTATAAAATTGAGCAGTTTTTTTCTTCATATAGAAAATGTGAAGCATGACATTCGATATCGTCCAATTATGTTTGTATTTTCCAGGATGGCTTCACGCCTCTTGCGGTCGCACTACAGCAAGGTCATGATCGGGTTGTAGCAGTCCTTCTAGAAAATGACGCACGCGGCAAAGTGCGTCTACCAGCTCTTCATATCGCAGCAAAGAAGGATGATATTCGAGCTGCGACGCTTTTGCTTCAAGTACGTCTGCTGTAGAGTCAAAAATGTTGTCGACTTCGTCAGATTAAAATTACTCGATCGCGATTCTATCGATCTATTGCTTATGTTTAGAATGAGCATAACGCTGATGTGACTTCAAAATCGGGTTTCACACCGCTTCACATTGCTGCTCATTATGGTAACGAGAATGTCGCACAGCTTCTTATCGATAAGGGCGCAAATGTGAACTACCAAGCACGACACAATATTAGGTATTGTTCTTGCTCGTATCCCTTATTTCTAGTGGCATGCGAATACTTTTTAGGCAACGTAGTTTTTCCTCCATGGAATACCGAAGTGATACAATCGTGATTTAGTTGAAAACATGAAAAGAAGCTGTCCCATCCCCCTTGCTTTACAGTAATTAATTCGGTTAAGGGTGATGATGTCAATTAGCACTTCGTTTAAACTCGAGTAGTGGGTTCTGTGATAGGTAGATTTTAATGAAATCTGATTTGCCACCAATCTTTATAATGCACTTTTTTTTGCAAAATTCCGGACCGCAGGCGTCTTTGGTGGAGAACGAACAGGCCATCACCCTTTCGTGGGGCTAACGCCTTCACTACCACGCCATGCGGGTCCTTTGTTTCGTCTTTCTGTCACCTAGTTTTCTGTCTACCAGTACCATCAGCAATCATCCACAAGCTGAGAGAAAGGCGAGAGCAGGAACCCGCATGATGTGTTGGTGAAGGCGTTGGCGTTAGCTCGCGGAAAGGGTAATGGCGTGGTCGTTCCCCACTACAGACACCTGCAGTCCGGAATTTTGCAAATATTATATCTCAGCATCATTGTGGTTGTAATTCACCTAATACCTTGAAATTGTAATAGGCAGTAAATAAAAAAGGCAACAGTTTTCTTTTTCAATTTCGTCTTTCGCTCACATCGTTTTTCGAAAATCTGCCGTAGCTAAACGTCAATAGTGTTTTCTTCTTTTGTTTTATAAGTATGCTATATAGGATTTGTATTTGAGAGGAGTAGATCCCAGAACAGAGAACTTTCTTTGAGCGTTAAATTACTTACTTACTTACTTACTTAAATTAGCTTACTCTTGGCCACATATGCTGTTCGCTATGCCGAGCACTGTGCCAAATATACGTTCTTCATATGGATACCGCAGATGGTGTGTTGCAATTAAATATGCGTAAGAGCCAGATGGGACAGTGCTGTATTCACTAATGAATGGTTTGATGTCATCCTTCTCAAAGGCAGCTTCTGTGCGCCAAAGAGCATCAGTATATCTGGTCCATACTGAATGTCCGTAAATCCTACGAATGAATGGCCAGTGTACGAGACGCGGACGAAGAGATAGCCGTTGAGCAGCTCACATCGATTTTTTTGGCTTGGCGGCGAATCTAATGATGTCAAACGAATCCACGGAGGACAATCAATCTGGCATCCAGACAGCCAGCTACTCTAAAAATGCCGAGGGAATAACGGCATGTGGCTTTTTATTGCTGGAAAGGTAGACGTAGGGGAAGCGTAACGAAAAATAAGATTTTAAAAGTATCGATCGATGTGGCTCAATTCTAAAATTTGTTATTGTTTTTGCTTCACAACTATCGTAATGAGCATTAAGCTGAAATTTTAGAATATCAAGTTGAAGCGAACTTTTCGAGAAAATTATATGTGTAGGTCAATGCATAAAGTGGCAAGTGCTATAACTTTTCTGTGCTTTGCTTAAATATTATATTTCATACGGTTCCTTTTATTTTTAGGGGTGTTCTGAGGTCATAAAATCCACCACGTTCTCATACGTTGTTCGGGGTTCTTTGTTTTTTGCCTAGGCTTAAATCTTCGGAAACTGTGCCTCATTTCGAGAAGCGTATTGAGATTTTTAGCTGAATGCGCGAGAGTTATGAAGTCTTAAGAGAAAATAGCGGTCATGAGGTGTAACAGATTGACGGGAATCTAATGAAGGAATAAATTGAGAGACTTAGCGTCTCATCTTTCGTATAGCGAAGTATCCATGTCTAAAATTCTCTTCGTAGGTCGCTTTATGAAAATAAAGCTAAAATTCGCCCATTTCTTTGTGTTTGAGCCGACGTGTGAAAGTGCATTTTTCAAGTCCACTCCATGTCGCGACGAAGTGGGGACGGACGAATATGGTCGAGCTTCTTCTAAAACATGGAGCTATAATTGATTCGCGGACGCGAGATCTACTTACACCGCTTCATTGTGCATCCAGAAGTGGACATGATCAAGTTGTGGATTTACTTCTGGAAAAAGGTGCTCCAATAAGCGCAAAAACAAAGGTATGTCGTCGCGTTTTTGCTAGATAATATGAAAATGATGGACATGGATGGTCTGGACTGTGGCAATTCGAAGTGCTACTCATTAGAATACTAATATATGAGCAAACCTCGGAACGTCAACTGGGCTTCAAACCCGCGATTACCCCTTGCGTGCTTCACATGCTGTTCACCACACCAACCAATTGCTTTGCTTTTCGCTCAACCAGTTTTTCACTCTAACAGTGCTATCAATAATCACTTGAAGCCCAGCTGAGTTCCGAGAGTTGCTCATAACTCAGCATTTTATGGTTGTATCTCACGTGAAGCTATGCCTTCGAAAAATAGTGGGCATTAAATAAAGGTTGATCATTGTTTTACACATAGTTGAAATGACATTCAACTTCAGTGAGAAATATTGTTGACCTCGTTTAGCTGTGATGGGAAGTAGTGATAATGACTTCTTCTGAATTTGGTGGCAATGTGTAAAGCAGGAAACAGAAAGTGGTTTAATCTTATTAAAGGCGCATAATTAGCAGAACGTACGATACGTATCTCACATGGAAGCCAGTAGAAATATGCGAATGGCTTGTAACTACATGTTATCCATACTCCAGTACTTTTTCCATTAGTTTTGCTGTCTTCCAGCCATTATGGAGATTGGTTGGGCTCATGTGTAAGAACTCTTCATTGAACGGTGGTCAAATGGGTGATCTCTTGATTTGTCGAACGGGTTATTTCGCGAATGTCTAGGTAGCCAGCCGTGCTAGGGCACAGCCAATGTCTCTGTGATTTTTTCTTTGAAAATTCATGATAGAAATGAATTTCGCGTTATCAGACAGCTTTGGATGTATTAACACTTTATGTCGTATTGTAATATCAACTGAACCTGTTCTAGTCTGTTGTTAACGGACTAACACCAGAAGGACGTAGGGTGCGATTAGTTTGGGAACGGCATTATATCACAGACACTCCGCTTTTGCGATCACTGCGCTGCACTACTATCCACATCTTCGTCTTTTTAAGAGCGATATCGACGTCGAGTTCCTCACTTCTGCCTAGTTTCTGGGACCAGTTGATTCAGGGAAAAAGTGCTGTTTCGGTTAAACTGCACAAAATCAATAATTTTCAGAATGGACTTGCTCCTTTGCACATGGCTGCGCAGGGCGATCACGTTGACTCTGCCCGGATTCTTCTGTATCATCGAGCTCCAGTCGATGATGTTACTGTCGACTATCTCACACCTTTACATGTTGCTGCTCATTGCGGTCATGTCAGGTAAACGAACAGAATCGTCTCAATTCATCGTTCTAGCTCATGAAGTCAGAGATTTTAGAGTAGCTAAACTACTACTGGATAGAAATGCTGATCCGAATGCTCGAGCATTGAATGGGTTTACTCCCTTACACATCGCTTGTAAAAAGAATCGTATTAAGGTATTGTAATCTCGTATTCGTTTTCAAATCACGAGTAATTGGAAGTGATTTATGTCAGGTTGTTGAATTATTGCTGAAATACCACGCATCGATCGAAGCGACTACCGAATCTGGTCTTTCACCTCTTCACGTGGCTTCATTCATGGGAGCCATTAACATCGTCATCTATCTTCTTCAGCAAGTTTGTAATCAATCAGTTCACAGCAATAGTGGTACGAAGTTTTAGCGCAGAAATAACGGTCGCTTGTCTACTACATTGTGCTCAAGGAACATTGTTTTTGGTTCTCTACTTTGATGAAGAATATATTTGAAGAAGGCATAAAATGATTTAATTCTAACGAAAGAAATTTTTTATGGTGCAAATCCTGACCTGGCAACAGTGCGTGGTGAGACGCCTTTACATTTGGCAGCACGTGCAAATCAGACTGATGTCGTCCGTGTTCTTATCAGGAATGGGGCTAAGGTATCATTCTTTTTCATTCGTTCATTCAATTTCATGCCGTACATTGTTTTCTTATTCGTGGAGATCGAACAGATGTTCTTTTTGGTGAAGTTATTTTGTGTTCAAGGTCGATGCTCAAGCACGCGAATTACAAACACCGCTTCATATTGCAAGTCGTCTCGGAAACACAGATATCGTCGTTCTACTGCTCCAGGCGGGTGCGAATTCCAATGCTGCAACGCGGGATCAATACACACCCCTACACATCGCTGCAAAAGTATGAACTTTGTTCAGTTTTTCGAATTCTAGCTGAGCATCAAAGATTGCGAAGAGTGCGAAGGCAACGGAGTTATCGCGAACATTTAGGAGGGTCAGGAAGAAGTGGCAGCTATCCTTCTGGATCATAACGCTGAGAAGAGTGTGCTTACCAAGAAGGGATTTACTCCACTTCACCTTGCCAGCAAATACGGGAATGTGGAAGTATGCGACTTCTAGTGGCGCTTATAATTGTTTTGGTTGTGAGTTACTATAGCAGTTATAGGTAGCCAAACTACTTTTGGAACGCGGAACACCGGTTGATATTGAAGGAAAAAATCAGGTCACTCCATTGCACGTTGCTGCTCACTATAATAACGACAAAGTAGGTTTGCTTAATTAGTTTCTTTGTGGCTTTTCTTGCATGGGAATGCTGAATAACATTTTAAGGTTGCTATGCTTCTTCTGGACCATGGAGCTTCTGCTAGGGCAGCGGCGAAGAACGGCTACACGCCATTGCACATCGCAGCAAAAAAGAATCAAATGGATATCGCTACCACGTTACTGCAGTACCATGTAATTTTTTTTATGAGGTTTAAAATTAGGTCAAGTGTTTTATCGAATCCTTACGAAAGCTACATGGTCGTTATAGTCAAGTGGTAATAATCTTGTAGAAAGGTTTTTAGCATAGGCATAATACAATTTTTACTGAGCGCAATGGAGAAGCAAGAGTTTTCCGAAAATTGATGTATTATTTTCATACAATTTTTAAAGTATACATATGTATGTACATGCGTTTACATGTATATATATATATATATATATACATGCATTTATATGTACGTGTAGATACATTTGAATATTCGCATGATATATATTCATGTTGAAGAGGGCGTGTGGCGCAGTGCTCGGAGGCGCCCTGCAATACACATGGGATTGATGCCCGCGCACAAGGCTCACCAAACCTCCCATCACTCCGGGTCGGCAAATTGGTCCCAGACTTGTTTGGGAGAATAGCAACACTGGCTCTATACATCAGTAGGCCTCCGCGAGTCATTGTAAAAGCCAAATTTGCATTCAGTTACTCCAACTTTATGAAGTCGAATACATGGCGCATTCCTCAGGGATTGATCAACGCCGAGAGCTTTATCCTTATCTTTCATCGTATGTATCATTTGGGAAATCATCTCGTGTAAATAAATAATCATGTATGATATGCATATTTGCTGCACTATAACTCTAAATAAGCGATGTATTTTTTAAATCTTGCTAGCATTATTTTCTCACAGACAACTGTAACAACGTTTAGCCGGATCCGAATGCAAAATCCCGTGCAGGCTTTACTCCTCTTCATTTGGCTGCGCAAGAAGGGCACCGCGAAATGTCGGCTGTTCTGATTGAGAATGGATCTGATGTAAATAATATTAAACAATTTGTTCACGAGCCCAATAAGGGAACCTTAGAGTTGTTCCTATTGAAGAATATCTAAGATCACAATTTATAGGTTGGGTCTAAGGCTAACAATGGACTGACAGCAATGCATTTGTGCGCTCAAGAAGACCGAGTTCCCGTTGCAGAAGAGCTGGTAATACTGGACAGTTTTGAAGCGTGAAAGATTTGCAGGACGATTTGAACAGAACTGAAAAGGTGACACGAATATTTTGCAGGTAAAACATGGTGCTGACGTAAATTGCAAGACAAACGCCGGCTACACTCCGTTGCACGTAGCTTGTCATTTTGGACAGCTGAATATGGTGAGGCCTGTTGTGTTTCGCAGTTACTTCGTAGATCGGTCATAGATAACATTTATCTAACAAAATAATTAGAACCTGTTTTATAATAGTGAGTGTAAAATATTAAGATATGATTAAGGTTCGTTTCCTTGTTGAACATGGGGCTAACTTGGGTGAGACCACTCATGCCAGCTACACGCCGCTGCACCAGGCAGCTCAACAAGGTCATAATCACTGTGTACGATACTTGCTTGAACATGGAGCATCACCAAACGTGCAAACAACGGTGAAAAATGTTTTTACAGATATTGGGGTATCATTATGCACCAGTTAATTACATCTTCCAATGTGTAGGTCGTAGATGGTTTGTTTTTAGAACGGGCAGACGCCTTTGTCAATCGCACAACGATTGGGTTACGTTTCTGTGGTCGAGACACTGAAAACCGTGACGGAAACTACAGTAATCACTGAAACAACAACAGTGGCCGAAGATCGTTACAAACCGCAGAATCCAGAGGCGATGAATGAAACGATGTTCTCGGAAAGCGAAGATGAAGGAGCCGCCGCTGAACATGAAGCCGCTACGGCTCACGTTAAGGTAAGGATATCTGGCATCATTTTTATTACGTCTAGAACATTTACTATTACTGCAAAACAATGTTGTCTAAGATTACATTTAAAGGTAGCTGTATTACCATATCTGTCTCTTGTTCACTGTGGCACCGTAATAACACGAACTTCACAGTTCAGTGGCTTACAGAACTGCTGGCTCGCTGATGATTTTGTTCTCTCGAAAAACTACAAATTTCTCCGGAATGGTTTCGCAGAATTTCTAGTAGATTCGTTCGGAAGCACCACTGAGAAATTTCGAAGTCGTTAATTTTTTAAGTTTGCATTTTTCTGAGAGCTAATTAGAGGATTGAATACTTTTGCATCTTATTCTTCCAAAGAACCCCTTCAATCTGTCTTTTGGCACCGGTCCTTTTTACACGCTGTGTTAGGATTGAAAGGAAAGTCGTATGTTTTTTCTGCTTGAATAGTTATCATCTGTCTTAAATCATATGTGTGAGTTGAGGAGATGGGTGATAAATAACTGTTTTGGCTCTTAAGAGTTTCTGAGAATCTTTTCCTTGTCTCTCACCATTTATTATCCATTTAAACTATTTATCCTCCATTCTATTTTACAGGACTTCTCCGATACACTTACACAAGGCTTGGCTGATTCAACAGGTGTGCACATGATTCACACCGGCGAACAGGTGTTGAGCTAGATTTCTTTAGTTGTTTTTGAAAATAGAATTCCTGGTGCAAGAGGTTCGCTTTCTCGTTATTTGTTGACGAATTTGTTTATAATTGAGCCTAATCAATGGGTGGAATTATAAGGATACGCTATCTTGGTATCTCTGCAGTGGTTTCAGGTGAGCGGGTCGTTTTAACGCCCACCACCGCACAAAACAGGGTCTAGTCGTTTTTAGTGGGGAGATTTTATTATCTGACTTTTATTCATTGTTAGGTTATTTTAACGATCTTGTAGCGCTGGGTTGCAAATGTCACATCTTTCCACATCTATTTCCCGAGTGCCTTCGAATTTTCTGCAATTAGTCATTTTAAAGCAACATCCGGGAGCACTGGCAGTGTGAAAAATGAATGACGAATGTTCTTAGAATTGCAGTTCACCGGGAACTTTTTGCACACAGCTTATTCTGTCTAGGGTTCCGTTACGTTCCATTGGTTGGAACAAAGCAATACGAATACCATTGGTTGTAACAAAGCAATACGATTAATCTTTTTGGTCTTGTATCGGTTTACTAGTGTATATATGTGCTTCCGAATATGGCTGTCTATTGAATCCCATCGTTTTAATGATGGAGATGGACACATCTGGTAATTTGTATACCCAGGGCTATAGTGTATTATAACGATGTATGTGTCCGATGCTTGCCAGCGTTCTTTGAAATACTACACACACCATCACGCGTGTGTGTCTGTGTTTTAAGCAGCGGTTTAACGCCGCGGACGAACGAGCCACTCGCGTCGTTCTTGTCGTGCACTATATAGCTCGTTTTCTTAGATTTATGTTCTGAACATAGCAGGTGTCCTACACGCGAAATCACTTAACTTTCAGCTGCTATCAAAGAGCGTTGAGTTCGATGGAACTATTCCGAGAGTAGCAGCCGTCGCTTTCACTGATGGACCCGACAAATTAGATGAACTAATTCGAAGAGCACAGGTTGGCCAGTCCTCTTTTGTGCGCTGCATAGAGTCGGCGAAGAAATCGTTACATTAATGAGATGCCCTCGAGAGGGCACACTGTTCTTATCTCTTCACACTTATCACACATCACTTAACCGCAATATAAAGCTAGCTTGTGGTTTGAAACATTTTAAACTAAATCATGGTGCCACACCTTTATGAATGATTCTGCTTCATTAACTCATTGTGATAGTTAGGAATCATTTCGGTGTTCTACCTACTATCTTATTTCATCGTGTCTTTGAAATGTTTGACATTCTAGGCACAACCAGTACTTACTGGCATGAATGACACCTCGGCACTAGATCATTCATTTGCCGCTAACGACAACGTTCCTATCGGACATCATATTGCTCAGCCTAGGTATTTTATCTCAGCTATAATTTATATTTTATTTTATATATAATGTGAAGTGTATTGGTCGCCAGATATCCAAAAATTGGATGGAGTAAATGGCTTGTATATTGGGTGATATGTGTAGTGAACTATGCACCTTGTTAAAAATCTTGTATTTACAGTAAGTTGCAGCACAAAACGTAAGTTTTTTTTCCGTTTCAAACAAGATGTTGTAGATGTTTTGTGACATTTGTTGTTGCACACATTGCATGCCATGCTCTATGATTGCACATACGGACGTACATACCAGTACCGTTTATAAACATTTTGAACGGATAGCAAAACATTTTTCAAACCAGTCGTCTTTTAACCTCGGTAGCAAAATCACCATGTTTTTGAATTGTTGGGCTTACACGGGGTTAGTAATAAGGTTTACTCGGCTAACGTTTCGATACCTTCGTCTACATCAGTGCCGATGATCCTAGTCGGTGGTCCACAGTTGTTTCACAGTTCCACAAATGTGGACCACCGACTCGGATTACCGACTCTGAAGAAGACGAAGACGTTGAAACGTTAGCCGAATAAGTTATTATCAACCTCGTGTAAGCTCAACAATTTAAAAACATTTTCCACAGATGTTTAAAAACGTTTAGAAAGTTTCCATTTCTTAGCTTTTGGTCACCATCCGTCCTAGTTTACGCTGGTATGAGTCTGCATGACTAATCTTTCCTTAAACTGTGAATACATGAGGATTGCTTGGTTGCTTATTCTGTTTAGCTGACCTCATATCGGTAGTTGGCTGGATCCATACTTATTATCCTGTAGCGATAGCTCGTTTCGTACCTTTTTGGTAGAAGAGAAGTCGTATGGTGACATCGTATTGAAGTGCTATATTAATATGTTAGGGAATGGAACTCTTTCGCATATGGCTTAGTTGGACACATAGAGTGTAACTCATATGGGAGAGGGTTGAACCTTTTATTGAGGAATAAATAACCGAAAGATTTTGAAAAGTTAGCGTAAAGAAACGATGCCGCTGTGACAGGATTTGTTAGAATTAGTGCTTTTTGGCGACAGGGGCCGAGTCCTACTCCAGTACTTGGTTTATATGTTCCACTCAGTATTACTTTGTTTTAAGCGACCTTTAAAGCGTAGAGATTATGTCTTGGTTGTGTTGGAATAGTAACTTTGTAAACTCAGTATGTAATATCTGCTGTTTTTAGCTTCCTGATCTCATTCTTAGTCGATGCTCGCGGTGGCGCGATGCGAGGATGCCGTCATTCCGGTGTACGTATCATCATTCCGCCGCGAAAAGCCAGCCAACCTGTTCGGGTCACTTGTCGATATCTTAGGAAGGTACGGAGAAAGATTCTTAAGTGCTTGTACTCCTGCTGAAATCGTCCTAGTTCAGCCTTCCAAATATAACTATACTTTGATATTTCTTCTGCATCTGATCATTTTACGTAGACTTTCTCACCGGGTGGGATTTTTTTTTGTGCAAAAGATTAGATTCGTGGTCATTGTCTAAGAATTAATTGATGCTGAATCGTGTTCATCAGATTTCAATAAAATGTAAACTCGCAGTTTTAACTTAATTGAGTTAATAAGCCGATAAATGGTTGTAGCGTGTGAAATGGCAGCAAAAAATCCGGCCATAGATCAGTATAGTAGTTTTAGCTGCGTGAATTTCAAAGTACATGAACTTGCACTATACTTCAACCACTTGAATCGTTCAGTTTGAAGATTACGAAGATCTATCGGAATAAACGATAAGCACCAAGATAACATCGAGATATCTTGTGAAGTATAACATCATTGAGTACTAAATGACACTCAGTATTTGTGTAATAAGATGTGTAAGTGTTCGATTGTATTTAAGCAGGTTATTGCTTGCGGAGAATGGTTTGAAAGTGTCAGGTGTTACACATTTGTGCTAAAATGGATTTCTATTCAGGACAAGTTAGCACATCCGCCACCACTCAGTGAAGGCGAAGAACTGGCTTCAAGAATTCTCGAGATGGCTCCTGCAGGTGCCAAATTCCTTGGACCAGTCATTCTAGAGGTGCCACATTTCGCATCTCTTCGGGATCGTGAACGTGAAATAGTAATTCTGCGATCGGATGACGGTCAACATTGGAAAGAACATCAACTCGAGGCGACCGAGGACGCGGTTCAGGAGGTACTCCGATGTGTGCCCTAACAGAAGCTGTATTATTAATATTCAGCACGTGTTGATGTTGTAGTCATTTCAGGTGCTGAACGAGTCTTTCGACGCTGAAGAATTGGCTCAACTCGATGATCTCCACACACCTAGAATCACTCGAATTCTCACTAATGATTTCCCAATGTACTTTGCTGTTGTTACGCGTGTTCGACAAGAGGTAAATCCTTTTGCAGCATGCGGACCAGATAATTATAAGTCGTCTGAAGCTTAACTACACATGTGATATTAGAGAATGATAACTTAGGGCGACGTATAAACGTTGCAATTAGTACTGATTCTTCTTAGGTTCACTGTGTTGGACCCGAGGGCGGTGTGATTATGTCATCGGTCGTACCACGGGTTCAAGCGATTTTCCCGGATGGATCTCTCACGAAGACTATTAAAGTGTCAGTACAAGCGCAGCCGGTGCCACAAGACATGGTAACTCGACTACATGGCAATCGTGTTGCCGTTTCGCCGATTGTCACTGTAGAACCGCGTCGCCGGAAATTCCACAAACCCATAACCTTGTGTATTCCATTGCCGCAAAGCAGCAACAAGGTAAGCAGTGGTAACAAGGTCATTTTATTAAAAAAAAACAAAAAAAAAAACGAAAATGGACGGACGTTGACTGGTTCTGTCCAATTTCTCCAAAACATAGGGAATCGTTCATGTTCTTCTATTTGTTGTGAATAAGTTCTGAACAGCTCTGAGAATGACTGGGCATGTTTTCTCTAGCGTATAACCGCCTTGGGTCCTGTTTTGGCATGCTGTCTACGTAATGTATTCCATCTGAAAACAACAAATTAGAAATGTAATTCTCATTGCGTCGTGTTGCATCTTCTTGCTAATAATTCTACTACAGGGAATGCTGACACAGTATTCTGGACAACCTGGACAAGAACCACCGACTCTTCGACTACTTTGTTCTATTACTGGAGGTTCTGCTCCAGCTCAATGGGAAGATATTACTGGCACAACTCAGCTCACATTTACCGGAGATGAGGTGAGTTTTTTAGTACAAAGTTGCAGAAGTTTTCATTTCCACTTTTCGAAAGCTCTGCAAATCTGTTTGTCATAGGTATCCTTCACAACGACGGTGTCTGCTCGATTCTGGCTAATGGATTGTCAAACACCTCGTGATGCTGCTCGAATGGCACAAGAAGTCTATAACGAAGCTATATGCATTCCTTATATGGCTAAATTTGCCGTTTTTGCGAGGAGAACATTCCCTGTGGAGGGTCAGCTGAGGTAAGACGGATTATCTTGGAACCGTCTCAACTATACCTCATAGTAGCATATGATTGAGTGTTATAGAGTGTTCTGTATGACGGATGATAAAGAAGATAAGACACTTGAAAAGCAGGAACACTTCAAGATGATTGCGAAGTCTCGTGATGTAGAGGTTCATGGTTTTCTTGGTATCAAGTATTCGACGGTTTGGTGTGTTCAAAAGAAAGACGTATTGATTCCAGCTGAAATTTCATTTCCAGGTGTTAAAAGGAAAACACCAGTTCCTAGAATTTTCTGGGAATCTCGTACCAGTGACAAAGAGTGGGGATCAACTGAGCCTGTTTTTCTTACCGTTTCAGGAAAATCGCCTTGCTTTCATGGTTAAGGTACAGATTACATTTTTGCAAAAATTCACATGTATTTGAAAGTAGGCTTGGCAAAATATAAAATTCTGGAAGACTATGGTATAAGTTTAATTCTGTTGTTTCTTCGGAAATCGTTATACAGTAATCTTTAGTTACATTTGGCGAGTTATATTTTTTACAAGTGTTCCTCGTGTAGTGTCTTTGTATTGTAGACCCGTAACAAAGATGACACTGAAGCGGCCACTGAAGGACGAATTGCGTTTATGACTGAACCAAAAGTAAATGTGTTTGCAACGATCTTTACTTCTTTCTTTTTACGTTTTTTAAAATATGTGTTCTGTTTTTAGTACTAATCAACACTTATTGTTTACAGATTCGCTCCGAGTCCTTAGCACCTCAGCAACCGATCTGCACGCTTGCAATTTCGTTACCAGAATATACTGGTGAACAACAAAAAGTGGTGATTAAAAAGGATGCCACACCATTTGAGGTGAAATACCAAGGTGCACTGGATAAGGTATCTTTTGCCTTATAACGTTAGGAAACACTACAATGGGTAATCTGTTTTTGCAGGATCTACCTGATTTCGTACACAATAATGTTCTAAAAGGTATCGGCGCTGATTGGCAGCGCTTAGCACGCGCCCTTGAACTTCCATATAGAGAAATCCAGTATATTCGTCAGAATTACCCGGGCAAAGAAATAACGAACGTGCTAAAGATTTGGATCCATTTGAAAAAAGAAGAGGCTAGCCGTAAGTTTTTTCTTTTCGTTTAAAATATTCAAATTCTATATTTTTATGGGACTTTTCGTAACTATGTATGCTTGACATCTCAGCTGAGCGTCTGGACAATGCCTTACGTCGAATTGGACGTGATGATATCGTCCGGAGCATTGCTCATGGCGAAGCAGACACACTCAGTTATGGAACCGGAAGCGACTCACCAGCCAGTAAACGGTTCGACCCGCCAAAATACGTCGATCTTCCCGCTACCATACTAAGGTTTTTGACTTTTTTAAACCAGTTCTCATAAATAAGATGGACTACGTTTAATTAAAGCTAAGACTTCATATTATCTTTATTTTAAGCTTTTATTAGGTTCTCTAGTGAAAGGTTTTTTTCCAAGCTGTAGTTGGTTCTACTTCATTAAAAGATCTGCCATGTAGTGGTTATGTTTTATAGAACATTTGATGTACCAGCAACAGTAACTCCTCATGAAGTGAAACATGAGGAGACCATTGTAGAACATCCTGTGAAAGAGGTTAGTCCTTCAGTGAATGTAGTAGAAATGGTATTCTAGGAACTCTTTCAGCAGCGATTTCTGTTGTTGACACTCGTACAAGCCCTTATTTCATGTTATACATCTATTGCATACATTTTTAGATAACACCTGATGATTATGCGGGAGTAAAATATGCAACCACACTTCCTACAAGAGCACGTGCTGAACAACCAGTAGCGGATACCGCTGGAGATGACGGCGATCATGTCATCCCAGAAGGTGTGGACATCGTAGTCATCTTATTACTTAGTATACGCTGTTGTTGTATAAGGTGTGATTCCTAGAAGACGAAGTCTCTGAAGTGCGAACTGTCGTTCGAACAGAACGTCATGTGCACGACACTGTCGATGGTCCAATGGTTGAAGAGAGGACTATCACGACCACGTACGAGGACGACGTAGCCGTAAACGAACATGTTGTCGACAGAACAGTGCCATTGAACGAAGAAGAACAGCGGAAGTATGTTAATGGCGTTTTATTCATTTAGGGATAGTAACGTTGACATCAGTCATTATTTCTGGCTACTTAGATGGGAAGAGTTGAATCGTCTGGCTGGTCATAAGGCTTATGTTCAAAATGAAGAAGAACCATTAGCGGAAGGAATAGAGCAGGAAGTGGATACCGAAAAGCACATAGAACCCGATGGTACAGTGGTCACCACGACTACTATCACCAGCCATCATATTTCGCGTAGGTTTTTTAAAATCTACTTGCCATTGGAATCATTTTAAAAAGTGTGATGTTGTCGGAACTTCACTTAACGTGACTCTGCTATCCTAAATTAGAGTAAATTCTCATTGGAGTGTAATATAGCCATAATGATGGTGAGGTATTTGCAAAACTCCGGACTACTGGTGTCTACGGTGGGGACCGAACACGCTGTTACACTTTTCAGGGGCTAACGCGTTCTCCGCCACCCCATGCGAGCCCTTCGTTTCGCCTTTCTCTCAGCAGTGTTATTGGCCTATGGGTGCTACCAGTAATCACCCGTCAATGGAATTGATCTGGGGAGCACAAATCGGCGTTGAACCCAGTTAAGCTGAAGCTGTAGTATAAGCCACAATGAGATCTCATTGAAGTGACTTCGCATGAATATCGCATTGATTGGTTAGCGAGAACATGAGAAAAGACACCAAAATGACGAGAAAAAAAGCGCTAGCAATATGGAGTGTAATGTCCTCTTATGTATTTTGATCACTCCCGTTTTCTTCACTAGCTGTTCACTCATTGATTCTAATTAAGGTGTTTAGTGAATATTGGTTCGGTCACTACATTACGAACTGTTGCCTCGACCTTTTGATAAGCTTATGAGTGCGGTATCACCTATCTTCTTATTTCTCGGAGTGTGGAGACCCGTCCATCTCGCTAGAATTGCACCGGAAAAAATTGCCCAGCACAGGTAGAATGACTAATGCAAGGCGTCGATGGGGAAACTGTTTGGAAATTGTAATATGATGGTGTGTTATACTGGTAGAAGCGAATTTCACGACTGCAAATGATCAGTTTAATAGTTGGGGATAGGCGACTTTTCAATTAACAGTTCTTGTTTTTTGCAGAGTCGCCTATCCCCATCTCCGAGGAAGATGAAGTGGACGAGGACGCATTGCAAGGTAGCCGCTGATCTGTCCAAAAATTGAATTGTTGTTGTATTTTATACGTATATATACTCTTCGGTGGTACATATATATATATATATATATACATATATATATATATACGTATATATATGTATATATATGTGTGTATATATATATATATATTTATACATTTTATCTGTTTGGACTAGGCTTCCAACATTCTATTAATTTTGATACCACACTATTTAAGTAAGAACATTCCTGTAATGTCGCTAAGCGCACACCACTAGCCTATTCTTATGCTATTCTTCGTACATTTGGCGCTGTAACGATTGCTTGTTTTGTTTTGCTGTTCTGCTTAATAAACCTCTGTGTAGTTGACTTTGAACTGGGTTTATCAATAGCAGCGACAAAGCATGCATGATGGCTGGCCGATGCTTTAATGATTGGGAAAAGAGTGGGACGTGTCAGCTGTTGTGAGGTGTATGTGCGTGCACATAATGTAGAGGAGAGTCATATCGGCTAAATGTCCAGCTGCAAAGCAGTCGTCGTCGGCGTCACTGACAATGGTGAAACGATATGCTACGGTGTTATAGAAGCGGACGACGGTACCTCTGCGGTGCCCGTACATCTCGTATCCACTCTGAATAACTATGAAGCCGAAAATTGGGATGGTCAACACGCCGATCATCATCATCATATCACCGAAGAGTATGAGACACATCATACTGCAGCCATTCCGGTCATCACTAGTGAGGATGATGGGGGGACAAAAGGCGAGGACACGCCCATTGCGAGCAGCGCGCAGTTCGAGCGCATTCGCAGTGCTTCGCTTGCAGCTGCTTTACTGGACACTGACTGTAAGGGTGTGGCACAAGTCGGCTTCTTTCATCCATCTGCTGGCACTCCGCTTTTAGAAGTCGAGGAAAGCGGAGAGAACGTTCTGAAACCAGCGGCAACGGATGGAACGGATTTTTCTAGTGAATCCGCTGTAGAAATTTTGCCAGAAGCTGACGAAGATCAACATTTAATTGCTAATCTGTTGCTTACACTTCGTTCGCTCAGAATGAACGCACCGGATCGTCACGCCGCTGCCGTTAGTAGGCTTAGAGAGTTGGAAGAAGAGTTAAGGAAAGCAGGTGCTGTTACTCCTGCGGATCCAGTTATAGCAGATGCTATTGCAAGAGCATTGGCGGCTGCTGGACCAGGTCGTGATGTCCAGATTAGAGTGAATCAAAGCCGACACACCACAACAACAAAGACGGTGTACGAAACGGAGACTCCAGGAATGGTCGGACTGGATGAAGAGAAGATTCGGGCTCTGCATCAGCAGATGCTTTCCAGTTTGAGTGCGTTCTTTAGGTTATTGAATTCATCATAGTAGTTTATTTTTAGTTTAAGTAACCGGTATGTTTCAGATTTTGATAGAAGTTTGTCGTGTTTGGTATAGTTATTTTTTGGGGAAGGGATGTACGAAGCTATTATATCTTTTTATTGTTATTTAATGTAATTTTTAAAGTTTAAAATCAAGTGAGTAGTGGAAGAGAACGGGCAGTTAGTGTAGAGATAGGATTGAAATTACTTCTTAGTATTGAGAAATGTTCATAGGAACGTATATATACTGTTGTTTGTTTTTTAGCCTCTGGAGCCACGGATTCAACTACGGACTCTGGTGAGTTAGTTTCAACATTTTCTGTTTGTCGAACATAATTGTTCGGATAAGATTTCATAGGATCAGATTTGTGTTCGATCTGGCTTGTATAGCGAGTTGATCTCTGGAAGTTGGAGTATTGCCGTACCTTATAGGATTAAACCTCACTTTGTAGGAACAACCCAAAAGAAGGAAACTGCTGAGGAGGGATTCACAAATGAGGATGGATCGGTGGTTGTGTCGAAAAAAATGACTCGTGTCGTGACGACAACTAAGACAACGTTACCTGGTCAGCTGTTTTCACTCCATATGTTTTTACTTAGTGAGATAGTTTTCGATAAATGCGACTTGTAGAAAAGTTATAGAACCTTAACAACAGTAAAGTTCGATCACTCATTTTGAATAGACGAGCTTGTGTTGCAGTTAAGCTTGTCACTTAGTTCAGGAAGTCTCTAATTTTTGATTCTTTGCTAATGAATAATATTTGCGATGCTGATTTCTACGTCTTCTTGTGTGAACCATATGTCTAGATTCGAGTATCGATCTAGTTGTTTTGCTTAAGTGGAGCTAGGGCAAAGCATGCCGATATTACAACATAACTTCGTCGACAACCTCTCGATCGACTATTACTGCCCAGGCAGCAAGCAAACACTTGGGGGATGGGGTGAGGGCATAGGTCACTTGTGAACGGGGTCTTATGTACGAGGTACCACGGGCGGTGCGATTTTGTTTGATTTCTGGTTACAGTTGGCAGTTGGACTGATGAGATCTATTCCATCCCACCTTAAAATAATGCACTAGGTTTCATTATTACGTTTAACGTGGCCCATTAAAAACTAGCTTTCATCAAAATATCGCCTATATTCTAGTTATAAGATGCGTAAACTCGATCTGGAGCAAAACGTTACCGTGTTAGCACGATTTGTTTTGTGTTTATTATAATTGCATCAAAGTCCTCATTATGTCCTTAAATATTTGGATGTACACTAGGCGAGTATTTTGCTTGAAACAGTATGCAAATAGTGGGCGACTGCTGACTAGTCATATCATAGCAATAGATTTTGTCGACGATACATTTCCGAGGTAGTAGAAAGCCAGCTATACCAGAACCAAAATGGAGTTTTTGTGATTTTAGTGACTTACTGACCTTGTTGATATGTACTTCCAATTGATGTTAGACGTATCACCATTTTGCATTTGATTTCCATTTCTGGTATTTCACTGTTTTAGCGAAATTTTCTACTTCTACTGGCGAAAAATCGAGCCCTTTCCAGAGTGTTCTAAAGTTGTCTTCAAAGGGATTTAGCTCTTATGAATGCAGCAATTCCTAGCACACGTTTACTCTTGGCTGGATTTTCAAGTAGGAACATCCAGTTCATTTTATCAGGTTGCCAGGTAATGAAACCCATGCTGTACAACCACATTAGGCTCATAGGGGACCATCAAGTCTTGGTGGAAGGGAAATCGTGTCTGATTTCACTAATTACAAGCTTCTACTTGTGGTTCAGCGCAATCACTTGAAACGACACTTTACGCTGCTGTACAAGGTTGGTGACGATTTTAGTCATGACTGCGGCAGGTGTGGCAACAAAAACAGAAAAGTGCGTCATTAAGGTCGATCAATCATCTTGATGTACGCCTTTGCACTCTTCTAACGTCGTAAACTCTCCAGCATATTGAATAAACGTTGGTGATACAGTGGTACTCCGGCGTCATTAATGAGTTTATTTTCTTTAGAATCTCTCGCTGACTAGTTTTTCACTGATGGACCACTCTCGTAAGATTCATAAGATATGGTCGGCATTGCTACAGGTTGAATCTGTGCGAACTTTCATAGCACACCCCGCATTACCCTACATGAAATTTGTTTTTGAGTTTTTCTGTTTTGATTAGGTGGTAGCTAAGGATTGCTCGAGCTTAGAACTTGCCCACGCCAGGGTTGAAACTAATACTTAACTCTTCGTGGTTTTTAGAATTAGATAGCCTACTTATTGTAGGTAATCTCGGATCGTCTCCCTTACTCCTTGTAGTCACTAAATCGCAAACGTTCGGTTGAATCGACACACAGAAATAGAATTCATATAAACGCAAGCCCATCTATGCAAGTATTTCAATATGATCACATGTACACAAAACATGGCATTCTATCGCAGCTGGAATAGAGAACAGATCTCCTGAATCCATCTGCTTCTCAGTGCAGGGTTTATGGTTGTTTTTCTTTCGTATCTAACCACAATGTTCGACATCGTTCCTATGCGTGCACTGTACTTTCTGATGCTGCTGCGTATCAGTGGAGCCTTGTCATTCAAAAAATGATAGTGAGATAAGAGAAGATAACCTTCATAAAGTTACCATAGAAAGTGCTATAATATCGGATGTACCTAAGATACTTATGTAAAACAGCTGGAAATATGAACGAGCACATCATTTCATTGTTACACGTATTTCTAAGAGAAATTTGAAGTCACTTTTAGAGTAACTCTATAAAGTTGGAAGAAATGCTTTATTGTAATGTAAAAGTAATCACAGGTTTTTAAAGCTGTTATGAGGTCATTGTAGCGATTTTGAAATTTTCAGGTGACGGTGAACCGACTCCCGGTGAGTAACCAGCAGACTCCATTCAACTGCCCAATGATTCGTGTCGTATAGTGGAGTCTTGTGCCTCACTGGCTTTCGCTTCTTTTTAGTTGATCAGTTCTTTTCCGAACACACACCTGAATACATAAGATTCCGCATGGGTTTTTAATTGTTTTTCACAGATCATTTTGTGGAATCTTGTGTCGTTAATACTTTACGCAAGTGCTTGTGCTTTGAGACAACTACAACGTAACCAATTCCACACGTAAACGTACGCCACAGAGGCACTATAGATGACGTCTCCACAGTTTACTAGGCATGCCTAATCGTTTTATACACCCTATATTATTATCCGTATTAAACTAATTTCATAAAAATTATGCTGTAATTGTTTAATAATAGTTGAATATGAGGAGTTATATTGTTCATCTTTTTTAAAACTTCATACAACTTCATTATATTCAGCAGTAGCTAAGATAGACTTAGTTGGGATCAAGAATGCATCACATTTCTCATGGTTTCGTCGTCGTCATTCTCTTTCCAAGTGCATAATACCATTAGATTTTCACCGCGTTAACCTTTCCCTGCTGTTCGTCTAGTCTCCAAATGGATACAAAACGCATAGGTATTGCGTTTAACATACGTAATCTTGTTGTGATGAATAAAGAGAAAGTGAATATAGTGCGTGATACCAGTGTCGATCGTATTGTGGTGGTGAAAACGATATGTAATAAAGGAGGTATCTTTGTAGTGCAATTAGGCAAGAAATATTGAATAAACTGAAAGATGTTAGAGGGAAAGAAGAAAGACGAATAGACGACGATAGAGTGACGTTATTTATCCGGCTATCACATAAGGAATCTCAGTCGTCGTAACGGCCTCATATGACCCATATGCAATACTCTTCTGAGTGAGGGAAATAAGAGAACATAGAGGTTGAAGTTCACGTCGGAAACGATTTTCACATCCAAAGTTCTAACTAATTTTGCAACTAAGAAATGGCCTAGTTGGGATGGAGCGGATGTTCTCATGGAGAGACAAATTGGGTATTTGTGTAGAGTAGCAGATCGACTTTGTTTGTTTCATCTGGGATTAATGGTGTTATAGCAGTGTCGTCGTGAATCAACGAAAAAGAAAATAAAGAAAGTGCGACGTTCGTAATCAGTTTTTGGACGAATTATTGTTAAAAATTAGGGATGAAATGTTCGCGGATGAGCTCCTTCTTAGCTGAATATCTTCTGCTGTTTTACAATAAATCCAGTGAATAATCTATATGGACTACAGAAGAATGATAGAAGTTGAGGCATTTCTACAGCAATTAGCAGCAAGTTTCAGTGAATTAGAATTATTTGGGTTTACAAATCAGAACTGGCGAGTATTGAAGGTTTCTTCTCTTCCACGTCACATAAAATCGGTCTTGATTAGTTGTAGTCGAAAGGGAAACGGTAGTTGACCAGTGGAATGAAAACTAAGGCTATTCAGAGACGCGATATTATAGCAAGGTTAATAGATTTTCGGTGTGACTGGTACTTTATCGAAATATATTTGTCATAAGGTTGGTATGGAGGCCTGCTGACCTTATCACACTGCAGTTTTTCAGTATACCTCAAGCTTGGGTAATTATGTTTATCATAGTTTCAAATATGGGATTCTCCTGCTAATCAACAGCAAAAGAAGCGCATATGCACAAGTTCTATGCTATCAAGTAACGCTTGTGAGTTGGTATTCAACTGGTGCGCATCCTGTAAATATTAAATGATACATGAGACTGGTTTTCTTGAGGAATTGTTCCTTGACGGCTTATGTGCACTGTGCGTGGACGTGTTTGCATGGCATGAATCCTTAGTTGATAAAGTAACACACTATTCCAACGGCGACGAAATCATAAAGTAATGTTGTTCTATTCAGAATCATCAACGGATTCGTTCGGATCAGTACGCGATCGAATTGCACGCTTTGAAGCACTGCAAGATGCGAATTCAAGAAAATCTCCTCCAGAGAAATCACATATGGATGTTGTAGTAAAATCTGAAGAGCTGATTCTCGAACAAGGGTCAGATTATGAAGATGTTACCCAGGATGCATTGAGCCCTTCTATTGAATCGGAAATATCACAGGCTGAGGTGAAAAGTTCGTCTTCATATAATGGAGAAGACTACGGAAGAAAACCATTCGATGATTGGAATTTTAGAGAAAAAAAAGAAACTAAGCAAAAACCTGATGCAGTTTTTTTGGCTGAAAAAGCTACAGAGGGTAAAACTAGCAAGGCTCTTACACCGTTCGAGGATTATCCTAGTGCGGTCATTGAGACAAGATCAGATGAGCAAAACAAACAGAACTTAACCAGAAACTTTGGAGAACCTCAAACACATGAAAAGGAACAACTGGGACGAAAGTTACTAGAGTTCTCACCTGCAACTTCCAGTAATGCATTCGAAGAGTCAGAGCAAGTTACAGAACAGCATGAAGGTCGAACCGTCAAAAGAAGTGATACAATGGTGACTACGATGATGGAAATACCAGGAATTGACACATCATTGCCAGAAAAAAGGCAATTGGATGATATCGAAACGGTTTACGTTCCTACGTTTTCAATACAGCAGGATGAAATAAAGCCAGAATACCCTACAATGGTAAAAACGGTAACAACAGTTACTACAACACGTTATATGGAAACCCCGGATGCCCTGCAAACGGATTCGCATACTGATACAAAGGCCGAGACTAAATATCTCTCTAGTCGTCTCAAATGTGAAGAAGCGAACGAATATTCAGTGAAAGGCGAAGAATCTGCTTCCAGGAGAAAACCGAGTTTACCGTTGAGTGGTGCCGAGATTTTAGCTACACCTGAAACACTGGTAGGATCCGAACCATATATAGAAGAATATCCAAAAACAAGTGAGTTTCTAGTAAATCCTGCATTAGAAAAAGAAGAGCAGAGTGTACAGGAGAAAAACGCCGTTGATGAACAAGAATATCCTACTACGGGAGCTGCTGTAACAACACTTACAACAGCATGGTATACACCTGGAGATTATGAAGAAATACAAGGAGAACGAAAAGTAAAAGACGAAAAGAATGGAACGGTTGGATCAGAAAGGAAATATACTACGTATGATTGGATACCAAACAAACAGTTTCATCTATTCGAGGAAGAAGGTTATTCCGCTGAACCTAAAACGATAACAACAATAACTTCCACACAATATACCGAGATGCCGCACGTCGAAGACGAAGAGGATTTAAGACAAATGGATTTACATAAAGAAAGCGATCTTCCGAAAAAATTACAAGAAGAGAAGACATATCCTGTAACTACCGAAATGGTTACCACAATAACAACTTCGCGATACGATACACCTCTGCAGGACTACAGAGGATTGTTTGAAGGAAAAGAGGAGGAATGCCTAGAAGGAGCAGAGAAGATTGGAATTGGAAAGCCGCAGAGCACCGAGTTCTTCGAGAAGACAACTGAGGAAGAATTTCCCACGCTTGCAGAAAGTTCAGTTCGCGAAGTTTCACCAGAAGGACATCCGGCAGTCAAGGAAGGTATAAATACCACAGCATTTTATGAAGAAAAGCCAGAGCATGTGGAACACGCTGAGAAGCGTTATCAGGCAGAATTGCCTTCGACTACTGAAGGCCCTGTGGTGGAGGTTTTAGCAGAAGGACATAAGACAGTTACGGAAGCTGCAAACTCCACACCGCTTTATCAAGAAAAGATAGAACGCATTGAATACGAAGAAAGAAGATA